CATAGGATATCATACGACAGGATATTCTTCTAGTTATAAGATGGATTTCATTCGTGATTGTCGTACTTCAGCAGCAATACATTGTGGGATATTCTTTTATTTTTACATATTGTTTTTCATCATTTTCGATTGTGTAGTTGTTTGAGATATGGTCAATGACGAGCAAGGGCGGAACCGGAACCGGGATCAAACATAGGGACGCCGATCTAAACAACAATTAGGTTCACAAGACATTGCAGAAATAGGTTTACATTGTTGATTTTTAATTAAACTAGTAAGTATCACGTGGTACGCACATGATTTATAATTTTACTAAATAAATGAAACAGAAGATCATATGAGATAAGTTAAACCACTAAAAAAGAGCATCTTTTGTGTCTACTTCTTGCGACGAATTGAGAATTCGTCACAATAGTAACAACCTAGTATGAAAAATCATCGACTTTGCTACCCTCCGAGGAAATAATTCGGCTTAATACTACTTTGCACCTTTGAAATATAGTGTTTTGGCACTTTGCACCCTTGAATTTGTTTATAGCACTTTGCATCCTCTATACACAATATATCACGCATAATGCATCTCGAATGAATTTGTAAAGCTAATGAAGGTAAGTTAATATTTTTAGTGTCATTTTTTAGGATGTCAAATGTCAAATCAAATTTATTTATTCATCAATCATTTCTAAAATCCAAAGTGAAAAAATGAAAACACATTTAATCAACCTATTAAATTATTATTTTTTCAAAAAAATATATTTTACAAAAAACAAAAAAGAACAAAAAATATCCTTCAGCTATTTAGGTATCAAATTATTTGAAAATTATATTTTCTTCCAAATATTTCTTCCAAATATTGTCACTAATTACAATATAAAAATCCATCAATCGAATAATTAAGTGATTTTTTTTTTGATTTTTTTGCAAGAAAATATAGTTTCTTAAGTAATTCTTTATTATTTTTGTTTTTTTCGCATTTCGTGCGCTCGAAATTATGTTGAGCGCGGAAAGAAAATAATAATTTAATTTTTTATTTATATCCTGGAAAAAAAACAATAAAAAATTAAATTACCCTCATTTAATTTTAAATATTCAATTCTGGGTGTATTGTGAATAATTTATTGTGTTTCGAAGGTGCAAAATGCTATTAATTTTTTTCAAGGGTGTGAAGTGCGAAAATGCCATATTTCAATGGTACAAAGTGGGATTAAGCCAAATAATTCATCTTACAACAAATGCTAGAAAAGATAGATACAAACCTGTAAAGACATTATCAATATTCTCTAAAGAAAATATTGATTATATATTAATATGTATGTGCAAAAAATTATCACAATTCCCACTATTTGCTCACGAAAGACAAATATTATAAACAATATATACAATTTCATATTAATAATAATAAAAAAAATTATATCATTTTTAATATGCTAATTGTAATTTATTAAAAATCTTAAAACTCGAATGTATAAATAGAAGATTGTATTGCTGTGTACGTACCTTGATTTTCTTCTAGTACTTCCTAAGATGATACAAAGGTTTTGAAACATTGTAACCTCCTTTTGAGTAGGGATGGCAATGGGGCGGGTATGGGGCGGGTTTTGCAATCCCCATCTCCGCCCCGCTATGGAAATCCCCATCCCCATTCCCGTCAAAAATCTCCACGGGTATTAAAAGAATCCCCATACCCGCTCCATAAAATCACCACGGGTATCGGGGCGGGTAAAAATCCCCATCTATTTTATTTTTCTTTTTCTTTTTAATAAATAAATATCAATTTACTTATAATTTAAAGATTTATTTCAACAAATAAATCAATATTTAATTATAATACTAATATTTAATTATATAATGGAAACCTAAAAATCCTCGTTTTTAACTAATATTTAATATATTACTACTATTTAATTATTTATATTTAATATAATAATTAAAAAATATATATTATATATATAAATAATGCGGGGTGGGTACGGGGACGGGTACGGGGCGGGTCTACGGGGCGGGTATAGGCAAACCCATCACCGTACCCGTACCCGGTCAAAAAAAATTTCAATCCCCATACCCGCCCCATTTTTTTTCGGGGCGGGTAATACCCAAAAATTTCGGGGCGGGGCGGGTCAAATTGCCATCCCTACTTTTTGAGAACTTTATACCAAAATTTCTGTGTTGAAGATGTGGGAACTACAAATGTGAAAAAAATTGAATGGCGAGCGGCCTTGCGAGTTTTTCATCCTCTTCTTATCAGTGCATGAGAAACAATATTTTGATCTCTTAATAACTTGTAGACGAATCGAACTAAGAAGGAAGTTTTAAGAAAATAGCTCGCATACGAATATTCACGATGGTTCTTCTACTCAAATTGATGATTGAACATATAATGACCTGAAACTACTAAAATCCGTTCAGTTTCTTTATTGTGTGGCTATTTTTCTTAATTGCGTTATCATAATATTTATAAAATTAAATTAGTAAATAATAATAATAATAATAATAATAATAATAATAATAATAATAATAATAATAATAATAATAATAATAATAATAATAATAATAATAATAATAATAATAATAATAATAATAATAATAATAATAATAATAATAATAATAATAATAAGGGTAAATTCCACTTTACCCCCTCGTACTCTGCTTGAGAACCACTTTACCCCCTCGTACTTTCAATTTCACCGATTTACCCCCTTGTACTTGTACAATTTCCCAATACAGCCATTTCCTTCAACTTTTGTCAATTTAGACTTTGACGCCGTTTGGTCAACTCTGTAAATTACAAAATTGCCACTGACGCGTCGTTTCTCCTCCGTCAATATTGTCATTTCTTCTTCTTCCACCACTTCCCCTTCCAAGATATCCCCAAATTGAACACCTAACTTAGTAAAAATCAAGACCCAAAAATTGATCGATTCCACTCAGTGCAAAGAAAAAAATATATGAATGTGTGAAACTTTCTCTTTTCTAATCTCGAGAGTCAAAATCGAAAAAATTCAATATTTACGTCAATATTTTGACTCTTGACCAAATGGCGTCAGAGTCAAAATCGAAAAAAGTTGACGAAGAGGGTTGTATTGGAAAATTGTACAAGTACAAGGGGGTAAATCGACGAAATTAAGAGTACGGGGGGGTAAAGTGGTTCTTGGGCAGAGTACAAGGGGGTAAAGTGGAATTTACCCTAATAATAATAATAATAAGGGGTAATGGCAAATAAGCCCATGACAAGGGCACTTAATTAAAAGAAGGACATCCATTTTTTTTGTCTTTCAAATAAATCCAACCCATTCAAACTTATTTGCAAATAAGGAAAATCCTTTCATATATACCAAAATTACCCCCAATTCAATGAAACCCAATTCAACTCCAATTTCATGATTTACACCCCAATTTAGCCCAATTTCATCAATTAACCAGTTTTAACCCTAATTTCAATTTTGATCCCAATTTTAACCATAATTCTTATCAATTCCACCCATTATGCTCTAATTTCCTTAATATTACACATTGACCCCGTATTTAAACAAATATATCACATTAACCCCCAATTTTTTTTTTTGCAGAAAATAATTTTTTTTCTGAAATATTTTTTTTCCGGGCAGATTCCGGCGTTGACCGCCGGAGACCGCCGGTCTCTGGCGTTGACTTTTTTTTTTTTTTTTTTTTTTTTTTTATAATTTTGTTTTTTCTTAAAAAAAATAATTTAATTAATTTTACTGTCTTGACTGCTAAATTACTGTCTCCGGCAGCTATTTAACTGTCGGAGACAGTAATTTAACTGTTAATTGATTTTATTTTATTTTTTTGTTTTCTTCAAATTTTTTTTAATTAATATTACTGTATTCGTTGCTAAATTACTGTCTCCAGCAGTTATTTAACTGTCGGAGACAGTAATTTAACTGTTAATTGACTTTTTTTTTTTATAATTTTGTTTTTTCTTAAAAAAAATATTTTAATTAATATTACTGTCTTGGCTACTAAATTACTATCTCCGGCAGCTATTTAACTGTCGGAGACAATAATTTAACTGTTAATTGACTCTTTTTTTTTTCTTCAATTTTTTTTTTTTAATTAATATTACTGTATTCGTTGCTAAATTACTGTCTCCAGCAGTTATTTAACTGTCGGAGACAGTAATTTAACTGTTAATTGACTTTTTTATTCTTAAAAAAAATATTTTTAATTAATATTACTGTATTCGTTGCTAAATTACTGTCTCCGGCAGTTATTTAACTGTTGGAGACAGTGATTTAACTGTTAATTGACTTTTTTATTCTTAAAAAAAATATTTTTAATTAATATTACTGTATTCGTTTGCTAAATTACTGTCTCCAGCAGTTATTTAACTGTCGGAGACAGTAATTTAACTATTAATTGGCTTTTTTTCATTTTTTTTCTTAAAAAAAATATTGTATTTAATAATACTGCCTTGGATGCTAAATTACTGTCTTCAACAGTAATTTAACTGTCTTAGACAATAATATTAATAATATTACTGTTCGAAAAAATAATATTCATAATATTACTGTTCGGAAAAAATAATATTCATAATATTACCGTACCAAACAGTAATATTACTGTTTGAGACAGTAATTTAGTAGCTAAAACAGTAATATTTATTAAAAAATCAGGAAAAAAAAATCAGGAAAAAAAAATTATATGAAGCTATGTAGTTTTTTTTATGTATAAACATGTTGATTGTGTTTTTTCAATTTTTGGGTCAAAATTGAGAAATTGAGAAATTTGTGAAAATTGGGGTCAAATTGAGATTAAATTAAGTTAAGGATGAAATTGGAGCATATTAAATTATGCTCCAAAAAAAAGTCAAAATTGAATTTTTGTGGTCAAAATTAGATTTTTGTGGACAAAATTGATAAATTGGGGTTATAAT